CAAAGGTGTTACTTGACTTTTCTTGGTCACTAGAAGTCAAGTTTTTGAGTGAAGAGGTTTGTAAACAAAAGGGAAAGAATAGAGGTGACTCTTGAAGTTATACTTCAAGTTGTTTTAATAAAAGTATTAAGACTTTATTAGCAAAGAAGTATAAAAACTTCTTGTGAATATCTTTTTGTGTGTGATCAGAAAATCAGTGGAAAGAGTTTTTAATAAAAACTATAATATAATACATAATATATTATTTATATTATTATAATTTAATGACCTGTGGGTCCATAGCACAGTGGTAGTACTCCCAGGTCGCAATCACAAAATCCAGAGTTCAATACCACACAAGGATGAATGTGAAAATAAGCCACAGGTAGCACAAAGACTTCATCTACCCCATGATAATAATCAAGTGCCCCAATAAGGTAATAAAGAATACCCATTCACTTATATAGCCATAACAAGGCATAATAATACAAGTTACAAATAGGCGAACATAAGTGATATGATTTTCCACACAAGACAGATTACCTGATCATGACAGGAAAAAAGAAGGACTTGTCCACTTAGAGAATAACAAGACATACCCAAAGAAAACAAAATTCAGCCCAGTGTGATGCTGAAAGATACAAGACAGGCCCTCAAGAAGGGATAATCAAGTGATCCAACATCCTTCACACAAAACTGCTCCATCAAAAGGATCAAGATAGACTGTGACACAAGACAAGCCCGATAGATACAATAACTTTAAGCGCTAACAGGGTCATCCTGTATAAGAGATCCCCAACACCAGTGGTGATGGGTATCTTGGGCAAGTTCTTGACATGTTGGTTTTCCTAATTAAGGATAGCACCAGGTCATCCGGTGAGCCACAAACCCTAGAAAGTATCACTTTCAGATGTAGGGTAATATGGTGAGGTCACTTTACAAAGGTAGACTCCCCAAACTCTTATAGCTTAGTTAGAATTAAGAGACAGTCCTACACTAAACAGTCACATAGTTACCCCATCCTAGTTGGGTGAGACATAAATAGATACCTATTATACTATTCATTGATCTGTAAATCCTTAAACAGTACGGATAATTACTCATCCCGATTGTTCCTAGGACATATCTTGATTATAATAAAAGCAAAAACTGGTGCGAGAATGAGCTAGCGTTTAAAAAAAAAAAAAAAAAAAATTATTATAATTTAATTAATTATATATTATTATATAAATAATATCAATAATAGATCTGTGGGTCTATAGTACAGTGGTAGTGCTCCCAGGTTGCAATCACAAGGTCCAGAGTTCAATACCACATAAGGGCCATGTAAGAAAAATAATCAGGTTGCACAAGGATGGGACTTCTGGTTTCCTTGTTGATCGCTGAGCTGAAAAGAATCTATTGTGAGGATTGCATGAAGAAAGGCCTTTGATCTGATTACACAAAATTATACCCGACCTAACCCCCTGAACTAGATAGGATACAAACCCAGGATCCTGCTTTTAGGACTGCAGTAATCATCTGAACACAACACTAATCCCAAACTGTACCAGCAGACTCTGGGACCCCGCTTTTAGGACTGTGGCAATCGTCTGAATATTTTCTACCTCAAAACTGTACCAGCAGACTCTGGAATCTAACTGCCCTAACTTGGAATATCCCAATCTGGTGCTTGCTTAAATAAAGGACCTGTCGAACAGGACTTGTCTATGATGCCGCAGGTGGTAACAAAGAAGAAAGAAATCTTTTCTGAGGTTCAAATGAAAATTATCAGGATATCTGGGTGGTTAAAATAATCCTTGAGGATTTGTTACTAGTATATAAGTTAGCATAGTAGTCCCTCATTAATAGAATTAGCTAACTATACCAACATCACTGTTGATGACTGTTATTAACCATCCGGTTCCTAGTTAGGCGTGCCCACCTACAGAGGGGTTTCAAGCAGGTCTGCCTAGGACAAGCCGTGATAGATTATCATTAATCTGCATATATATGTATGAGATGATTGATGTAACACTTAAGATTTAATTATCAATAAAGAGTTCGCATCTAATACCAGTTGTGGTTTAAGAAAAAAAAAATAAAATAAAATAAATAAATAATACCAATAATTTATAAATATGAATGATTTTTTTCTTAAGTTTTATAAATTTTTGTTAAATAATAGATAAATAGTTATCAAATTTTTAATGAATGGTCAATAAATTTTTAATTAAATTTTTAATAAATAGTTGATGAATTTTTTATGGATTTTTGATGAATTATTAATAAATTAATGTTAAATTTTTATTGAACTACCAATAAATAATTTTGTAATAAACTTTTAATAAATTTTTATTGAATAGTTAATGAATTATTTGACAAATCCTTAATGAATTTTTTGACAATTTATTGTTAAACTTTTAATTAATAAATTTTTAATTGTTGAATTTTTTAATTGTCAAATTTTTGATTGCCAAATTTTTCATTGTCACTTTATTGTTAAAATAATAATATATCGAATGGCAGCAATCAAAAAGAATTTAGTAATATTTTTATTATTAAATTTAATTAAATTTAACAATAATTTAACTATCAAATGATATAATTTTGACTAATGATATTTTAATATAAGAAAGTTTACTAGAAAAACATAAGATTTAAAAATTCTCAATCCCAAGTTAGTACTTAAAAAAAAGATTAAAGAAGTAATTTATAGTGACTAAAGCCCTTTAAAGATCCAAAATAATAAAATAAATCATGCAGACATTAGAACTTAGGAAGAATCTATTATCAAGGAAAATATTAGAGAAGGAGTATATCAAAATTACCTGATAGATATATTTTAATATAATCTTGAATCTAAAGAAAAACTAATCTTCTATTATAAAGATTACTTATTAATCATAATAAAGAAGAAATAATGATAAGAGCAGCTTAGATTCAAATAGAAAAAGAAGAAAAAAAAAGCAAATTCCAAATAGGAATAAACAGTTGACTTTTATCTATATGAGTTGAATTAATAGTAATTATAACAATACTTTTGATAGTTTCAATTAAAAGTATGGTGAAGATATTTATAGACAGTTAAATATGATTTTTAAGTGAAAATCTTTAGAAAAAGAAGACTTAAAAAGGACATACAAGAGATGACTCAAAGAAAAAAATTGGTTTCTTTAAATATATATTGTAAAACTAATAAAAAAGAAAAATATAGATTTAAAGCTCATAAAAGTTAAGGTGCACTCAAATGATCCTTATAATGAAGAAATAAATACCTTAGTTAAGGAAACCCTAAAATTTCCATTAATTGAATGAAAAGATTTTACTTTATACAAAATTATTACTGAAATTAAGTGACAAGGAACAACTTTAGATAATTTAATTAGGTAGTTTATTAAGAATATTAATAATAAAATAACCGTCTATCAGTAAATACAGTAAAACAGAATAAAGAAAAAATGAAATCATTAAATTTCAGAATACTAGACTTATACATAGAATCTAATATAGAAAAGAGTTAAATATAAAAATATGTAAAATACATCTTTTAAAAATTCCAATAAAGAAGTTTTTTTATTAAACTGATCAATGATAAGCTATTTACCCTAAATAAATTGACTGTAAGAAAACTGAACCTATATAAGCAAGTGAAATGTATTGCATATAGTCAATAAGATAAAACTATTGAATACTTACTAAAATATTCAGCCTATAAGAATTAGCTACAAGAGGCATGGAATAAAGGAGTAAATGAAATCATTAGAAACTTTAAAGAGTTATTATAGGAAAGAAAGAGAAAGACTAAAGAAAAAAATTTTAAATTAATTATCGATAACCAAGAAGAAATAAAAAAGTTTGATAAGTAGATCTCTAAAGTAGTGGAACAGATTTCTAAAACTAGCTAAAATATACTAAATTTTTATAATGGTCTTATAAGAACTGATTTTATTCTAGAAATAGCAAACTTAAAATGTCAAGATAAATATATAGGAAGAATAGTAAAAAAAAGTGAATAATAAAAATATAAAAAAGAGTTTGTAACCAAGTTTGAAAAAAAGTTTAAAACAAGAGATATGAAAAGATAATTGAATGGGAACAAATACAAGAAATTGATAGAAAGGACAAGACAAAAAGACTTCTATATTTTTCAAATAAAAAAACTATATTTCTTAGAAAAAAAAATCTACTACCTGAAGAAAAAAACCTTGAAGACAAAAGTTTTCAAGAAATTTTAACAAAAAAAAATAGAGTATAGAATGAAATAGTTGGATTTTAAGCTCTGTTAGAATCTTATAGAGTAATTTGCAATAGTAACTTGCAGATAATGAAATTAACTATTGAAAAGATCTTTGTCTAAACTATTAATAGATTGATAAATTACTTTCAAAGTTGCACTTAGAGTTTTAATAATTCTTAAAATAGAAACAAATAAATTAAGTAGTAACTTAACTTTAGCAATACATTTTTCAATATAAAATATATATATGTTTAATAAAGCCCACATACCTAGCCTAATAGAGGGTTTTAAAAAAAATAAAAATAAAAATAATCAATAAATAAAATTTTAAATAGCTTGTAACTAGAAAATATTATTTATTTGATTATGAACCTTTTAAAAAGAAATTTTTTTTTTTTTTTTTTTTTTTTTTTTTTTTTAATATAGTATCAAAATAATCTATAAGAATAAAAAATATTGTTTTTTAAATCTGACTTAGTTTTGTTTAAAAATAAAAAAATAATAATAATAATAATATAACTGTATAACACGTGTTGAACAAAAAAAATTCATTACAGGTTATACCCAAAAAGGTTATGAGAAAATTATAGATTGCGCCTAAAAGGGCATCAGAAAATTACTGTTTGTTATCTCGGTTCAAATGCAAAATAGCGAAAGAAATTTTATACTTGGCTTATCTGCCGCTTCTTTCATTACAGGAATAGCCGGTTCTTTGTGGTACACTAAATACAAAGGTACACATTTTCAAATATATTGCGTGTGAAAGTCGATAGATGATCGGATAAATAATTCTGTTATCATGTTATAGTCAAATCTTTGTCTCGGGAGTTTTCTACCCCGGCCTCTATTTCATTAGAAACAGTCGCCAAATATAGACAAGCGACTTTATATTCCTTACAGGCTTTTACGGTTGGTACTGTTCTTTGTGTATCGGTTAGTGGATTATGCGCGATTGGTATTGGCGCTTTACTCGATGTCAGTAATGTAAGTTATGTTATCACTTCTAAGATGAAATCCTCATACCTTCGTTAATATTTACTCCACATGGTATATAATACTTTGATCAGATTCAAGAGTTTCATGAAAAAATGAAGGATTTGATTCCATACTACGTTCCTTCTTTACGTAATGCGATAAGAAATTCTGAGCAGGATGAAATGAGTAATTCCGAACAAAATGATTGGAAACTTCTGCAAGAAGAGTGGCGAAAGTTTTTGTTAGAAAGAAAAATAAAATCAGAAGAAAAACAAGACCCTCAAAACAAAAAATGGTGGCAGAAGTAACACTCATAAAGAATGCACCTTCCAACGACGATAAGGATTGTTGTTAGCTTAGGACTGGACTATTATTCTGCAAATATCAATCCCACGATGACAACGCTCAGAGAAAAAAAGAATCGATTTGGGAGTTACTGTAGCTCGAATGTTTTGTTTTCGAATCGAGATTTTAAAAATTGGAATTTCTCGTGTTTTTACAAAAAATATACTCTTCTACTATTGCAGTTGAGCCGGAAAGTAATAGAAGTTGCAAAGTTGTTTTTTTATTACAGTATATTAAAAAGATTGGTAATTTACTTTCTTGATTGACTGTTGACCTAATGGTTTTTTTTTTAAAAAAATTTCAAATATTAACAAACAAAATAGTCGATTAAAAATTTTACTAGTTAGTTCTATAAATAATTATTATTTGATTATTCTAAAAAAATTTTAATTCGAAGACCAATCTAATTTCCAAAGCTTATTCCTTGAAAATTTTATTGTGCAAATCCGTGAAGTAGTTTATAAAGTCATCTATTTATTTAAAAAATCAAAGGTTGAATATTATCATTGGAAGTTTTATCAACAGCTCAAGATATTAGTATTTTTCTTCTTAAACCATTTATTGACATACTGTATATAAAGGGTTAACAAATTTTATATAATATTTATTTATAAATTCTATATAATTTATGTATTTTATTATTATCAAACGTTACTTTTGATGCTGACTGTACATACGTTTTACCATAGGGAATATCACATTCCATAATTAGATTATTTAATAATGCAGCATCAAAGCCATTCGTATATACATTTTCGCAAAACCACGTAGAGACATCGCGTTAATATAAATAGATTTTTTCGCATTTCTAAATCGAGTTAAAACATTTGCCAGCGTAATATCAAAGCATTTTATAGTCCGGTTTTTAATTAATGATAACTTTGCGTATAGTGAACACCTATTATTCTAATTACGATTCGTAAATCGCGAATGGGAAATCGCCAATCACAGTGTCGCACAATAATAAGGCGTGCACCCTTATTTTTTGATACATTAGTTCAATTGCTGGGAGGGATCAATTCTTTCATACAAATTTGTCTTTCCAAAAAGCCACTAAATTTGTTTTGGGAGAGATCCTTATTATTATTTTTTTTTTATTTCCTCTTCCTCATTTAACGAGTAAAGTCCAGAGATTTCGCACGTGACTGGTTTTATTATCTCTTAAATTTGCTAGAAATCTACATTCCCTTGTGTCGACCTTGTCGAATTCCATTCTTTCTTCTTTCGGACTATATTGGCCCACGTTCTTGAAGTATATAAATTCTCTGTGTAAACTAGTGTCCTGGCGACAGTCTCATTCAGGTAGAAACAAAAAACTTAGTTGGCAATCGACAATCTTTATATTTGCGAAAGCAACACAATCAATAATGTCTGTTGGAGTTCACGACAAGTATATTGGACTGGCTTTAGCTGTCTCTTCCAGTCTGTTAATCGGCACCTCTTTCATTATAACAAAGAAAGGGTTGATTGATGCGACGAGTAGGCATGGTAATGTTTCGTGATTTAACTTATCCGCAAACTTGATTCAAAAAAATTTACCTGTGTATGTTTATAATCGATATACTTATTGCAGGTTCTGCTGGCGACGATCACAGTTATTTGAGAAATCCAATTTGGTGGGCAGGGATGACAACAAGTATGTTAAATATTGCACCCCCTCTAGCTTAGAAAACTTTTATTGGTATTTTTTAACGTTACCGAATATTTTGTTTATTTATCAGGCAGAAATTAATTGTCGTTTTTATTTATATATCCAATGGTCTAGTGGTTCTTGGTGAATTATTGAATTTTGCTGCTTACTCTTTTGCTCCGGCCATTCTCGTAACTCCCCTTGGGGCATTAAGCGTCCTAATTGGGTAAGCATGTTCTTTGCCGGGGGCAACCATATTATAACACACTGCCGGGTCAAATATTAAGAAAATTATCGGTTATGTCTTTTTTGTGTTCCATCAGATCTGTTATGGCATCTTTATTTCTCAAAGAGTATCTCGGCCGGCTAGGAACAGTGGGTTGTGGCTTATGTTTAATTGGATCGTTACTTATTGTATTGCATGCACCTGCAGATAAGGACATTCTGACAGTTGATGAAATTCTAGCTTTCGCTCTTCAACCTGGCATGTATAGCTTTGATATTTATAGCGGTTAATCAGAAAAAAAAAAACCCCAAAAAAATTTTCCAGACTAATTTATTCAACGGTCGTTTAGGATTTTTAATTTATTGTTTCCTGGTAGCGATTTATACTTCTGTCGCCATATATGTTGTTGTTCCAAAATATGGGAAGCAGAGTCCATTGCCTTACCTGTCAATTTGTTCGTTGGTTGGATCTATTTCAGTAATGGCTTGTAAGGGATTTGGTATAGCTTTAAAACTCACTTTCGCGGGAAAAAATCAGTTCACCCATCCCTCCACATATGTCTTCATAATCATATCGGCAGTCTGTATATTAATACAAATGAACTATTTCAACAAAGCATTAGATCAATTTTCCACTAATATGTGAGTACAAATTTCATATCTACCTTTGATTTTCTCGGTTCACTAACGAATTCCATACCTACTTGTTTAATAGAGTAAATCCTATATATTATGTATTTTTCACGACTTCGACCATAATTTCATCTGTTCTTCTATTCCAAGGGTTTAACACAAGTCAACCAGTAAATGTCATCAGCCTACTTTGCGGGTTCCTAACCATTTTTGCTGGGGTATACTTACTTAATACAGCAAAATATGATGAAAGGATATTACCAAAATCAGCACAAAATGGAAATGCGATATTGCTGTCTTCTATTTCGGATAGAAATGATTCTTTGATGAGAGATGCAACGCTATTTTCTTACGAAGAGGAGAGCTTAGGATTAACGCAATTAAATAATGATCCATCGGATTCCGAGGAGGAATGAAATTGTTTAGAGTAGTGCTGTAAAACAATCGTGCTTTTTAAGCATTATGGACAATGTAAAATAGATTTATCACACAAATGGATTCTGGCAAATTTACACGAAGAACATACTGTCCCCTGTTATTAATTAATGTACATTATACGATGGTAACATTACAAGGTACTCTTTCGCACAAAGTAATAGTGGTGGCTTAGTTTCCATCAAGGATGGTTAATAGATTTCGTTTCCAAAACCTCGAAGATCGATAGTTTGTCAAAAAAAAAGAATATATATACAGTATATATATATGTATATAATTTAAATCTTGTCGTACAGGATACGATGTTTTAATTTTTTTTTTTTTTTTTCCAATTCATTGGGCAAAAATTAAATAATCAAAATAAAATACCGGCATATTCAACAAAATGGTTAGCTTGAACATCTTTAAACATATGAATATCGATTTTTTTATAGACATTGTGAAAGAAGTTTTCAAATTATTCCACACGCATCCATTATTATAAGTATGATGTGGTGATATCTATTCTCGTTGTTCACCGGTAGGAAAAAGTCGAGTTGCAAGAAATCAGGAATAATAAAAAAGCTTATTTTATTTGGAAAAAAGAATTCATATCATCATTATTCTTTTTTTTTTCAATGCCCAAGAGGCTGGTGTTTATGACGATTGAAAACACAAAAATATTAACAAAATCTGCTATTTGTCACCTACAAAGTAGGATGACCGTTTGATGAGGGATGGCGTGTAGGCTATGTAAAGACATGGGTTCAACGTATTTGAGTACGAATATCAAACACCGTCGTACGTTTTTTCTCTTTCTTGCCGTTGTTGAACACATTCCAAAAACGTAAGGTCTCGTCACCAGCACCGGTAACGATATTTTCTCCATCGGGAGAAACGGACAGGTAGAGGACACGCAAAGTGTGACCTTTTAAGACAGCCAACTGCTCCATATTTGGATACTGCCAAAGAATTATTTGATTCTGAGAATATCCATGGGTAGAAACAAGCTCGTTTGCGTGCCTTGACCAGGCAAGATTGCAAACCTGACGGGGAGATTAATGCTGTAATCAATAAACACGACGTAAATACGTTATGAAATGTTTGTAACCAATACCTGCGACTCGGTATCATAACATCCCAAAACCTCGCCGGTTGTGGTGCTCCAAAAACGAATCTTTTTATCATGTGAACCACCGCCGCTTGCTAAAAGACCGTGTGAATGTGGACTCCAGGTAATCGCTTTGACGGCAGCGGTATGATGGGGAAACTTGTGAACGGGCATATCATTTGTTCGATCCCAAATCAAGAGCTTATTGTCGTTGCCTCCACTGGCAAGTTGAGTTCCTTCCGGATTCCATTTAAGACCACAAACCTTGACATTTAATCAACCAACAATTAATTAATTTGTTTGTTTGTTTGTTGCCAGGATTAGGATAAATTGTCTTCTTACCTCTTGCTTGTGTCCCGTCAATTTCACCGTATAATCGTTGTGATCTCTGACATCCCTATGATAGATTAATCTGTCGCGACTGCCTGAACTAACGGTGTACGAATTCCAAGCCAAGGCACCTTTACACATCGAATTTTAAGTAAAACTTTCTAGCTTGATGTTGAATCAAAAACCATTCATATTTACTCCTCACCCACCTACTCGTTGACTATGTCCCTTCATTTTTCTAACTCTCTTGCTTGTGTGAATATCCCAAATCTCGACGGGTCCTGGGGCTGTACCAACAGCTATGTGAGAACCCTTTTAAATTATAATAGACGATTATGGTTTTATTTTATTTTCATTGAAATTTAGATCGATCGTGTTATTACCGTAGGCATCCAACTGACTGATGTGACATTCTCATCGTTGTTACTATGTCCTGTACTTGCCATATCGCAAAGTTTCACAACCTAAATTACGGAAATTTTTTTATTTTCAACGACGAATGATAAAAATATTGCCACCTTTTCAAATCACATCATCATCTTAATACCGAAAATTAATGATAAACATACATACTCTCGATGTAACTGCATTCCAAAGGTAAACGCATGTGCCCAAACCCACTCCCAAGACATTAGAAGACGACCAATCCACCAGGTTCAAATAGAAATCATCCTGTTATTGAAGAATTTCAGTTGGAATTGTGAGTGAATCAAAGGCAGGCACATTAGTAATAAGTAAGAGGGATAATCTACCTGAAGGTCTGGTGCATCAAGCACCTTGTACGGAGTTTTGCTAATATATCGAGGAGGCTTACGAGGACTAGTCAAAATCAACTGCGCTTCTAATGGAAGCGGACTCGAATTGTAACTATTCTTAACCGGCGAATCAAAAAAATAACTACGCTGTTTCGTCGGTGAACTAAATGACAGCAATTTTTTAGGAGATCTAGTGGGCGTAGAGTTCAACCGACGAATTATATCATCGGTTGTTTCCCTCAGTGGCATCATAGCCTGACCCACAACGGCTCTGTAGAGGCGACCTTCCTCTTCTATTCAGAAGTTATTTGTTAACTTGTTGGTGATGTAAAAGATACTTGCATAAAAACTAATCAATACATATTCAAAAACATCAGATATTAAAAATTAATCAAGGAAATCACCTTGCTGTGCTTCCTCTTCGATAACCGAGATCTTTCTCTTCTTGGAGCTTTCTTCGGTAACGATCCGCATCTGCAGATCCTGGACCGGATTAGGGGTTCTTTGTGGAAGAAGCCTATATAGATCGATATTGTATTCTATTTTAATTTTTACCATGTAAAAAGCTGCCGAATAAGACGAGGCTTACCGATCATAATCAGGAGTACGCGTTTCTCGTGGAGGTGTGGATATGATGCTTCGTGTACGTATTGTGGTGTTATTACTCCTGGCAGTATGTGAACCACTGCTCTGAATACTTTCGCCCTGATTTACGGAGGCAGATCGTTGACCGGCGTTTTGCGGCATTATCAAAAAGACTATGTGACGTCTTGTATAAACTTAACGCGTGTATAATGAATGTTATGATGTTGGCAGTACGAAAGAGCGAGTTTTTTTAATAAATGGGTACATTTATGCGAGAATAACTAAAATTCATAGACATCTAATAATGTCGTGTTCTTATTTTTAAGCAAACGTCAAATTTTTGCCTTACGCAAGTCAAGTCGCAAACTCACCGTAACAAAAAATTTTGCAGTCTAACAGTTGCGGGAATAGTGGAGAGGTATAGTGCAACTGTTTAACGCAGTATCGAAGTAGTAATGAAACGAGAGCGGGTATAGTGAATGAATGGACAATGTAAATTTCATGAGTTTTTTGATGTTGCATATATCAGTCAATCCTAATGGCTTTGAAAATTAACATATTTGGAAATCCGCATATTCGTGAATTTGGTAGATTCGGAGAAATTTTTGCTTGTTTATTAAAAACCCACGACTTTTATTTTATTTTTACTAAAAGTGGGGTTTCTACATCTGACTTGACTTCATCACGACACATTTTAAATCCGCAATCAGACCATTATGACAATTCTACCTTTATTAGGAAGCAAGTTTAATTCATTTTTTTATATAAATCACAAATGTGTATTAGCTAATAAACTATAATACATTTTGAAAGTTCTTATTTAGTAAATACAATTACTAAGTTAATTTAATTTTTTTTAAATACTATTGCTAAGTTTGACTTTTCAAATGCTATTATTATTATTATTATTATTATTATTATTATTATTATTTTAATTCACAATTAGATTGATAATAACTTATCTTTATTTTATTTTATTTATTATTTATTATTATTATTATTATTTTAACAAAATAATATAAAGATAAATAGATCTATATAAATTTTGAAACTTATATAAAAAAAAATATAAATAATATTTAACTATTATTTATACTATTAATTAAGTATAGATGCTTTATAAGATAGAATTGAAAATGTCTAATAATAAATAAAAGAATTAAAATTTGAGTTATAAATCTAAAAATAATAATATATTCTTAAAATATTTAATATATAGTATAAAATTTTACAAATTATTTATATTACTTTTTTGAAGTTTAGCAAAAACAAAATTCAAGAAATATTATAAATTAATAATTTAAATAATAGAAAATTATTATAAATGGTTTTTTTATAGTTATTAATTTAAAATTTTTAATATTTTCTAATAAGAAATATTTGATTTTTATTTTTATTTCTTTTTTTAAAATTTTATTTTTATCTGAAAATTAGTTAAATCAGATTTTAAACTATAAATCTTTATTTATTTATTTATTTTTTTTTTAGTATATTTTATATTTAGAATATTTTTTTAAAATTAAATTTCTATTTAACTTACTTGTCTCTATTTTATAAATTTCTTAAAACTCTAAATGTAACTTTAGAAATGATATTCTCTATTAGTAGTTTAGATAAAAACCCTTTCAACTACTAACTTTATAGTCTATAAATTACTATTGCAAAATACTTTGTAAGATTCTGACTAGATTTAAAACTCTAATCACTTTATTTCATATTTCAATTTTTTTATTAATTATTTTAAGATTTTTATCTTTTAAATATTTTTTTTTTATAGTTTTCCAGCTTGAAAGATACTGAAGTCTCTTAATCTTATCTTCTTTATGAATTTTTTGTATCCACTTCTATTTAATTGTTTTTTTATATCTTATATTTTAAATTCTTTTTTGAACTTGATTATAGATTCTTTTTTGTATTTTTAATATCCATTTTCTTGCTTTTTTTCTATCTATTTTCTATAATATTTTAGATTTGTTATTAATTGAATAAGATCAGTTCTTATAAGACTAGCACATAAGCTTAAGATGTTTTAATTAATTTTTAAAGTTTGTTTTATTAGTTCAAAAATCTGTTTGTTTAGTTTTTCTAATTCTTTTTGATTATTTATAATCAATTTGAAGTTTTTCTTTTTGGTTTTCTTTTTCTTTTCTTGTAAAATTCCTTTAAAGTCTTTAAAAGTTCTATTTATTTTTTTCTTTTATATCTCTTATATTTCATTTTTATAGGTTAAAAATTCTAACAAATGTTTCATTGTTTTACTTTAATAGTTACATATGATACATTTTACTTATATACAATACTTATCTATCTATGTATCTTATTTCAAATTTAATTTCGTATAAGAAGAACAGTACTTAACTTTATAGTTTATATACCTTGTTGATGACTATTGATATTAATAATTAATAAGGATCTTTCAAACATTTTAACTGGCTCACATATCACTACTAAAATTTTTGGACTTGAGTTTTGATTGGTGAAGTAATATTAGCTTTCTAGTTTTTCAACTTGGAATTTTTTGAAAATAGAATGAAAACTTTCTAATTTGCTTTGTGCATAAGCTTTATTACTAAGTATCCTTAATAGTTTTATATTTTCTCTGGTTTAGACTTTTTCAAGCAATAGAGATTGAAATCTATTTAATATGCAATCAGAATATAAGTGGCTCTAACTTAAAAAAAGGTTAATCAAATATCTTGTAACCTTTACCATGGTCAGATGGACTTTTTTTTATATCCAATAATGTATCAGTAACATGTTTTATATTTATCTACATCAATATATATGACTTATAGTAAATCCTAAGTTCTTATAGAGCTAAGAAAATGTATTCAGACACATGAGATAGTCAATAAAAGCTTGTTTATCAATTTTATCCAATGTGTTTTATATCAGCCAATCAGAATCAATGAGATCTGTGCTACTCAAAATTTCAAATCAAGTTGGATTAGACAAAATTTCCCAAAAAGCTGTAAAAAAAAATAGATCTTAGAGATCACAATGTCAGTCAAAAAATAGAAAAATAAGTTCTTTGACTAGAACATAACTTTTGTTATTTTTTCACTATAATTGAGAGATAATAAGTACTTTACTATTGATCTTTTTTATGTATAGTTAGAGAATCAATGAAAATAGTTATATCTATTACCTAATATATATATTCTATCTTTACAAATATCTTATTTTTTTTTTAAGTACTTATAACCAGGCTAGATCATTAGTTTATTAATCAATTAAGTAATATGATATATATTACAACTAAACTATTATTTTAATCTAACTAATTTGTCATAAGTATAAAAGTCTTTAAGTTTGATCTTGAAAACAATATTTTGCTTTACAAAAATCATATGTATAGTAGATAAAAAAGAAGAGAATATTATTAATACTATAGTCTGACTTAAAAAAAGCATAATAAACAAAGTAAACTATAGGTTATACAACAAATAGTCAAATAAAAATAAACGATTATACAAAATAAAGAAAATATATTAGTTTCAGAAACCTATATAATACTTAATAGTATTATTACAAGTATTTTAAAAATAGATAAAATACTATTTCACAAGGAACAAGTCTTGATTTAATATATAATTTATTTCTGGCAACTGGAAAAAGAAAAGTAAGAGGATCTATTAAAACAATATATTGAAAACAAATTTTTTGTTATAGTTAAAAAAAAAGACAGTTCAAGCAATACAAAAACTTTTTATATAGAAAATATATCAATAAAAAATAAATTGATATTGAATAATAAAATTACAATATCTAATACTTAAGAACAAGAATAGATAAAAGGAAAAATAGAACTTAAAGTATTTAAAAAAGATTCAAGGTCAAAATATTAATGAATATAACTTATATAGTACAAAAAATAAAACTATAAATTCTATTTCAAATCTATACTATATAAGCAAAAAAAAAATATATTTATTAGAAGTGATTATAGTAAATATTTTAGAAAGTTTGAAAAAACCTCGCTGATCCTCTGACCACACACAAAAAAGATGTTCACAAAAGTCATGTCACTTTTATACTAATGAAATCTTAATACTTTTTTTAAACCAATCTGAAGGGTTTTCTTCAGAACTCCGCTACTTCCCCCTATATTATTTACAACCTCTTTCAAACAATACTGGACTCTTGTGACCTGCAAAGTTCAGCACTCACCTTGACTACCAATGGCAAAAAAGTTTTTCAAGGGAGAAGAACCAACAGCAAAGTATCTGTAGTTGAAGTAAAGGAACAAAACAGTACCTAAGAAAGAGTCTCTCCCATTCAAATGACTCATTTTCCACCCTTTGAATAATTGTGTGTCCTCTTAGAGCTACCACTTTTCATAGCTTTTTAAGGAATTTTGCCTATTCCAGCTTGATCCTAAAATTTTGAATAGTATAAATTCCACTGATTCTAATTGGTCATCATGAAACGCGTTGAACAAGATTGATAAACAAGTTCTCATTGGCTATCTCATGTGTCTGAATGCATTTCCTTAGTCCCATAAGAATCTGGGGTCTATCATAAGTCATATGGTCTGGTGTGGATGGATACAGGACATTGCAATCTCCTAAATCGTTAACTATCAAGGAAGAGTAAACAAGCCCATGGACTGTTCACTCCATGAACTGTATACAAAGACAAATCTGACCACTCACAAAAATACAAGGGTTATACAAAACAGTTTCTTAGTAGATGGGTGACAAGAGTTCTGTGACATAAGACTATGCTCCAGAAAAGACACAGGACAACTCCACATTTTTTCTTTTTTCTTTTTAGCACTAACAAGGTTTATAGACCTTGTATAAGAAACCCCAATACTAGTGGTGCTGGGCATCTTAGCCAATTTCTTGGCATGTTAGTTTCCCCCAAAAGGATAATAACAAGCTATCCCATGGAATCCTCTAGGAAGCATCAGTTTGCGATGAGGGTATATAATTTGTGGTCCATTAGTTTGGTAGCATACATCCACTTCCTTTCAACTTTGTTAAGGATTAAGAGTAATTCTACACTAGATGGTAATATAGTTCCCCTATTCTAGTTGGGTGAGATGTAAATAGATGTCCTTTGTACTATTTGTTGATCTGTAAATCCTTAGACAATATAGATAACTAGTAATCCCAGTTGTCCCTAGAATGTATCTTAATAATTAATAAAGGATCCAA